ATTAACAGTTACTCAATAGTCCAGCTGCGAAGGCCAAAACAACGAAAAAATTGATGAAAATATTTTAAAACGATTCTGCTGAAATTTCAAATGTGTCACGAAATTCTACATCGAATTCTGCATCTTTCGATGTAATTTAACAAAGTATCAATGATATAGATAAATTAAACATTGAACAAGTGATTTTCATTGCTTCCGAAACAGCAAAAAAACTTGTTGAAATTTTGAAAATCACACTTATTAAAGCAACATAATATTTATGAATTGAACGATCTTAGTCAGCACATATATCATGATCTAAAATCCACTAGTAGAAAAAATGAACATTCAATCTTTGATTCAAGTCAGGAAAGTGAAAGCGACTCTGAAAATTATTTATCATCAGAAGACGACAGTATTGATGACACAGATGTATATTCTCATGACAATAACAATGAAAATGAATTATTCACCACAAAAACAAAATTTTCCGGCATAGACCTGTTGATTCAATCAATTCAGATCTAAACGATTCTTATTTTAACATTGATCTGAACAATGGTATCAAATATATGCACAAACAAACGGCATCTTGGTTTCTAACTGAGAACAACAATAATTTGCCATTCGATCGTTTAAAGCCAGTGATGGAAACAAATAGACAAGAATAAGAATACAAAAAATTGCTATCATGTTGCCCTTTTTTGTATTACTTTGCAATAGATTTGTTGCGTTAACCCTTTTTATCGCAACCGCATTGGGCTAACAGTATTTTTTGCATTAATATGTCCAAAAAATGATCACTGAAGGGAGGAATCATAAAATTTGCCGCATAGGAGTCATGCTAAAAATAGAGCAATTCTATGTATTACTATGTATTTCTTATTTCTGTGTTTCAGAAATACTCAGAAATACGCTTTTCCCCCCATGCCCGTACCCCACACGCTCGTTTATTCGGTGAATCACTCTCACGAAAAATCGTACATTCTATCAAGATCTACTCTCAATAACTGTTATGCATTTGAATCAATATTGAATTTTTGTACTCCATGATTTTCGTTCTCGACGACATGGAACTTGCCGTGTCGATCGAATGACAAACCGATGAGCACATTGAGTTGATTCGATTGTCCTCCTCTACCGTTTCCACCAACAATGACACTTCCCTTTGTGGCTCCTTTGGGGCAACGCATTATTCGATGATTCCCTCGATCAGTCACACAGACAGTGCCCAATTGATCGATAACGACTCCCCAAGGATTTGACAATTGTGTAAGACCATTTCCTTCTCCTTGATCACCAGCCACGACAATGCCTTGTTTTGCACCTTCCACCCATTTCATCACACGATCATTTCCCCAATCAGACACGTATACTGAATGATCTCGATTGACGAATACGTAGTGTGGGCCATAGAGTTGATCGAGACAATTTTCACTTCCATTGCCATCTGCAACCACTATTCCTTGAGATTCTCCTCTTCGATATCGTCTCACTTCATGTTTTCCATAGTCAACGACATAGAGAGATCCATTCTCGTCCATTGTCAAACCCCTACAATGGATGTTGGAGATGATTGTTTCTCCACTTGTCCCATTTCGACGAGGCCATCGAACCACTCTTCTATTCGAATAACGCAGATGATGAGACTATCTTCCTCTTTGTCGACAATCACATCAAATGGGTCAGACAACTGATGAGTCCCATTTCCTTGTCCATTTCCACCGGCAACCACTTGGCTAATCGTCGCACCCCATTTCCCTTCCACAGTACAATGATTCGATGCATCAGCGATATAGATTGTTTGATCATCATCATCAACATACAAACCACATGGGTAGTAGAGTTGATTGATTCCATTGCCTTGTCCATTTCCTCCAGCCACAGTGAGACCATTCTGTTGCCATCGAGCATTTGGATGGGTAGTAGATATCAGAGCAAAAAATAGTGTATATTAATCGGCTGAAAACAGTCACTCCTAACTAAAATGTTTTCTTTGCAACATAAAGCTGAGAAAATTTTTTTGCCGTATATTTTCGATGCTCTAGCCGGCCAGATAGTCAAATACGGAAACAAAAAGTTTTCCCCAGTCGGGTTCTGTAGCAGGTGTACGGTTTTCTCAAGGAGGCTCTCTTAAAAATGTATTTTTGAATAAACTAGTGTTGATATTCGGAATCAGCATACAAAACTGGGTCAGATAACATAGACTTTGTTCAAAATATTTTTCGTCAAAAATGGACCGCAGGCAAAATTACTTGAAAAAAGAGCTGAGGGGTAGTAGGGGTCGATTTTTGATGAAAAATATTTTGAAACAAAGTCCATGTTATCTGACCCAGTTTTGTATGCTGATTCTGAATATCATATTTGTTTCATTTAAAAATACGTTTTTATGCTTTATGCATTTATGCTTATCCATTTTTATTTTTATGGTTGTAGGGTCAATAACGCAGAAGTATGAACCTTTTTTTTACCGTGAGGACAATAAATGTAGAACTTTGGAGCCCATTAGATGTGATTGTCGACAAAGAGAGAGATAGTCTCATCATCTGCGATAGTTCGAATAAAAGAGTGGTTCGATGGCCTCGTCGAAATGGGACAAGTGGAGAAACAATCATCTCCAACATCCATTGTAGGGGTTTGACAATGGACGAGAATGGATCTCTCTATGTCGTTGACAATCGAAAATATAAAGTGAGACGATATCGAAGAGGAGAATCTCAAGAAATAGTGGTTGCAGGTGCCAATGGAAGTGGAAATCGTCTCGATCAACTCTGTGGCCCACAATACGCATTCGTCGATCGAGATCATTCAGTACACGTGTCTGATTTGGGAAATGATCGTGTGATGAAATGGGTGGAATGTTTTTTATGTGAAAGGTTCAGTCGAATAAACGTATGGATTTCAATGATGATGAATGAGTGTATAATTTAGTTTCTCAAAATAATGGAAATGAAA